ACTTCTTCCCCAAAAAACTTAAGAATTTTGTGTGTATAGAACTTCGAAACTTGTGTCTCTATGTAGGTAGTGGTCCTCAAAATAGGAGTAGTGATGTTATTTAAGTCATTCTCCCTCATTTTGCAAAGCTCTTTTCATATACTCTAGTAGTTTACAACAAAGAAAGCAAGCTTGTTGACGAAGTTAGGTACATCTTAAAGTACTTATTCATGCCTTCATTTCTTAGAGCCATTGATAAATCGGATGTGAATGCATCAGCCACATATGCATCAACCCATTGCATTCGACAACTGTTTATTGTAATGATCCATTCATTATGTTGAAGCTCATATTTCTCAATAAGGGATTTCTAAACTGTCTCAAACTCTTTTACGGTTGGGCTCGTTATACACTTTTTGAAAATTTATAGAAAAGTCAGATGCCGACACGATACATGATATAATTTTTCTTTTACCTTTGCAAGTATATGTCATTAACAATAATGATGCCTATTTTTATTTAGAACATGTCTCACTCCAGTAGTAATTGCAAGGTCCTGATCAGTGATAATTACACCAAGTTGACAACTACCGATTGCTTATAGCCACTTTTTACAAACCCACACAAATGACTCCACCTCATCAAATATAAGTGCGAACCCAAAAAAATCGTGCTGAAATGGTGATTCACACCAAGTATGGGAGCAAAGGGCATGCCAAACAAGTTCGTTTTGTAAATCGTAACAAAAGATATCAGAGAAGTGGTGGTATGACACCCTTGACATGGCATCTACTCATAGCATACTGATAATATGATCATCTTCATCTAATTTCAACCTAGAGAAAAATGAAGGGTTTGATTCATTCATTTTACACAGCCATTGCATAGCACGATGCCATCTTCTCCTTCCAATTTTCTTCAGTTGTTTGCTATTTGGTTTTCGATATTTTTTTTGTGAGCAAGGGAGATTATCAATTCCCCCAGATTCCTCCATAAAAACATCATGTATATGTCTTACCTTCAGCACAACAGGGCTCATAGAGTTTATCATCGACTTTGTTGCATTTGATATTATTCAATGTGAACGAATTAGTCGAGCTTGGTTGTGGTTGAGATCCTTTACAAACCTAGTCACAACCCACTCATTACTGGAATTTAAGCTTATGCCCAGCTTCGCTAGGCATCCACACCTTGACTGAGGGACATTCCTTTTACCCATAGCATTTTTCTCTCTATGGAACCCTTCCTTAGAGCAATTAATTTCCCTATCGATTTTTCGTCCATCCTTATTGTGTGTAGTTCCCCCTTTGACGTCATACCCATACGCCAATGCATATACCTTGGAAAACTCATATACATTTTCTGCATGACCAAATTTCATTCCTGTGCGGGGTTCTTCTATTTCAAACCCCTTGGATGAAGAACCATGTTCCCCAATTCCCGTATTTGTAAACTTCCTTGTGAGAGGGGGCGAGCATGAGATCTTGCTTGATGGGTTAAATAGCGTCCCCCATGTTGTCTTAATCTGACAATGTGGGAGCCGACACGCTGCCTGAAATGGATAGGTCCATCTCAGGCCCTTGAATGACCCTACTTACACAAAAAATAATTTGCATATGAACTTATGACTAACAAATTCTTCGCATAAAGTTTAATTGTTGACTTCATTTGGTTAAATTTACATTAAAGTTTCTCCACACGTATATATACTCGTTTTATTCACAAATGTCATACTATTGTAACTCAAAATTAAGGCTTCCACATTAATTTGTCATGAATAATAGAAACATATCACTAAAACTAATACTATTTTCTTTAAGAAATTCGCAAAATTCACACTATATGAAAGTTTCTCCACTATGAAGATACAATTTCATCAAGCATTTCATGTACTTCACCAAATTAGAATTAATTTCGATAAAAGAAACTCAACTAGGTTATTGATGCAGAATTTCAGTTATTGATTTCTTGAAACATGTATATAATGGATATCAAAATACTTCATGTTCGCCTTCAGTTAACTGTACTTGATAAGAATCATACATAATTCATAACAATTGAAACACCTCCAACCTCTACACCAGAATAACATCAAAATTCTAGCCATTTCAATATGATATCATAATAACATCAAATTCTAGTCATTTCAAACAACAATACAAATCAACCAATTTGAAACACAAAACAATCTCCGAAACTATAAACCAACCATTATTCATTATCCGCGTGATTTTAGAAGAAAACTATGCAATACATATCAACCAATTTGAAATACATAACAATATGCAATACAAATCAACCAATTTGAAACACACACACTCAGACCCTGTGGGGGCGAGTGAGAGAGAGAGACCCCTATGGGAGCAGAAGAGAGAGAGAGAGAGAGAGAGAGAAACCCCTGGGTGAGAGAGAAATATATATAGAGAAAGAGAGAGCCCCTACGGATGGGTGCCTTAATAGAGAGAGAGTCCTATTCGAGGCAGAACCAGGGCCTTGCCCTAATTGAGAGAGAGAGAGGGCAAGTGCCCTAATAGATAGAGAGCCCTATTCGAGGCAGCGCTGTCGTACTGCCCTAATAAAAAGAGAGTGAGAGACAGGGCCAATGCCCTAATCAAGAGAGAAAGAGAGAGAGAGAGAGAGAGAACTAGAGCCGAGAGAGAGAGAGAACTAGAGCCAAGAGAGATAGAGAAGAGGTTCATAACATGCACTCTCAATCGTCTAATAAAGATTTGATGGCCAAGAGCATAACCGAAATTATAATTCACTTTAGGTGACACCCTATTGGTCACTCTTACGGTCTTACCAAATATATAAAACACTCCGTCCGTGCTTCAAACGCTTCCCCCCACCCCACGAACCAAAAAATCAAACCCACCCAATTTTGCTATCTTTTGGGCACCTCGCTTATACGGAGATGCCTAGGTGGCACCTTCCGCATTTTTAGACATTGGTATTTGCTGTTAACTGGCCAGCATCCAAAAGACGGGTATGCTAAGAAATTGCTTATAGACGATTAAAGCCTCATGACAGACTTGTGGGTTTAAATTGTGAGTGCAGGTAAGGAAGTCATATAGCCATTGATAAAAGTAGTGACATCTTCCTTAACGTCTAGGAAAAGAACGAAATACCCAAGTAGCAATATAGCCATTGGTATTTCTCCAAATGCCAAAACAACCAGTCGAATCAAATCAAACATAATTAGTATGAGCTCACAAGGAGCCCATAACCTTGTTTTCATCTTAAGTAGAAAGTAATACTATGAACAATAAGAAGAGGTTGTTGATGTGCTCCTATGTTCTGGAGAACCTCAAGCTCATGCGTGATTCATGGGTGATACATAGATATGAAAGATTGCCACTTCCCAGCATATTGTCCACTCACAAACACCTTCACCCCTCCATACTGAGTCTTGAAAGTCAACTCAAATGGAAGGCCCGCTACATTGTCGCCTGTAAAAGCAACCTAAGAAATGAGATCAGAGTCAAACTGCCACGATATAAGATGTTCTTTAGGACAACATAACCTCAACTCCAAAGAACTACTGAACAAGTCCGTAACAGAAAAAGGAATCCCATAATAAGCCCATATCTTTCATGTGAGATTGAGACATCAGATGCCTCTCAAGGAAGGTGAACTCAGACAATCATAAGGCTATATGATAAAATCCTCTAGATATGCAAGTGGCATGCTAACTCCATTGGAGGGCTGCATGTATCTTGCTACAAGAAGCCTGTTTATAATTTCTAAAGGAAACATAGAGTGAAGGCTACTCCTCGAAGTGATAATTTCTAGATCTAAAAGACGGTCTTCTCTTGAAGGGGCGAGTTGGTGTTCCAGTACTAGCTTTGGCAACCACCTTCTCCCTCAGATGATACAAGATGATACACTAACACATGTCGATGCCACCATCTTTCCTTCATGCACGACATGCAGCCTTGTAGCTGCAACACTGCCTATACCACCGACTGTCATGGCTTGCCATGAGCCAGCCTCCTCTAATGTCTAAAGAATCTACGCGGTGACACCCGACACGTCCTATATGGTATTGCAGTACTCCAAATAATACCAGCGTTTGATCAAAATTATCAAGTGCCTTGGTCTATACCAGGTGCTGACCCCCCATAAGTGCTCTCTCTTACAAGGACAACCACAGACGTGTCTCTATACAATGTGACCTTCGCCTCCTAGCCCATTACTTGTCTCTTAAATCTATCTTTTCCCTGACAATAGCCAGGATCCCTTCTTGTATTCAATAGTTCAATCACTCCTGTGAGTGTTCTGGCCCAATCACGTGGAGGTATCCTTATGTTGTCTATGATCCACTGCTTCGCATGCTATCCATATCTTGGAGATCCAAGTCTCATGCCTTTCCATATACAAAGGCAGACAATTGGACTTCAGCAAGATCTGGGCATGCAATTCTAGGGACGACTCAGGTTGCAGCTAAGGAAGAGCAATCCCCTAGAAAAATAGTAAAGAAGATGGACAATGAACCTTTTTAAGTCAAGGATGTAAAGCACAATGCAACCATTGCTCAAAAGAGATCCATGGGGGTTTCTCAGGCTCACTTGGTTAATAGAAATTGATAAAACATTGACAAGTAAATTTCACTCTTGAAACTAAATGATGTTAATCCTTCTCATTAATAACCATATGAATTATTTACCAGTGATCTGATTTTTATGTTTAGAACAAGGTAGAATTAATTGATGTACTTAAGGGGGCTGGTAGATGAGATTCATAAGAAGATATGCAAAGTTAAAGTGACAAACTCATCAACACCATCATGCGCGGAAGCAAACAAGGCTCAAAGAAAGTATACATAATGCAATTTCAGACAAACAAGTGTGGTATATAACTATTACAGTGTTATTATAGATGGTAGAAGAGAATAATCTTCTAACTTTATATATTTATTTTCAAAAATTCAAGGACCCCGATAATCTTTCAAATGTTTTTTCAGTATCATTCCACAATTTAAACATGTCACACTATAGCTCTAGCATACCCAAGGAAATTACCTGTGAATCCAAGGGATCTGCTTCCCGTGAAACAAGATGCTGCAAGCTAACAATAACATTTGACGCAGCTAAAATGGGATCGATCGAATGCTGAGGAATAGCTGCATGACCTCCCTTTCCACTTATTACTGCATCAAAGAAGCCAGACCCAGCCATAAGTGGGCCAGGCTTAGAAGCTACAGCACCAATGTGAATGTCAGGAACCACATGCATTCCAAAAATGGCTTCAACATTTTCCAAAGCTCCAGCCTCTATCATTTTCTTTGCTCCACCACCTCCTTCCTCAGCAGGCTGAAAGAGGAGAACCACAGTCCCCTGTTGCAACTAAAACAAAAGTACATCAATGCATGTCACATGCGTAATGTGCACACACTAAAGGGATATAAAATAGCTAGAAAAGAAGTGATGGATTAGCACTGCAACTGAAACATGCATACAAATTATTTCTTAAAAGAAAGAACAAGATCGTCGGTTGTAACACACATGTTTAACACTCATGTAATTTTTTCTTTTTAATAAGTAAAAACAAGCATATAAGTTCACAAGTTGGGCTCACATGTATCAAAGGGCTTGTGGCAAGCATTTCATGTCCTAAACAGTACCAAAACAATGTAAGACATCCTGGTTCATGCTGGAAATTCTGATAATAGATAACTAATGACTGAAGCTGAAAATCAATGTTTTGAAACATGGCTCGGCCCTTATACTCGGCCCTTATTCTCCATTCTGCTCTATTAAAGGTCATATCTTCAGTGAGGTCATAAGTCTCCATAGCTTTCAGACTACTTCCAACCACGTCCTTTGGGCCCTACCCCTTGCCCTTTTCAGTCCTTCCACTTGAACTAACTCGCACATCCTAAAAGGTGTTGTACTTGGTCGGCGCCACACATGGCCAACCCTCTACTCTCTCTCATTTTATCGTCTATTGGTGTCACACCTAAATTCTCTCGAATAAATTCATTTTGAATTCTATCCCTTCTTGTCTTGCCACTCATCCATCTCAACATCCTCATCTCCGCTACACTCATTCTATGGGTATATTGTTTTTTGTACGCCCAACATTCTGTCCCATAGAGCAAAGCTGGTCTCACCGTTGTCCTATAGAATTTGCCCTTCAGCCTCATTGGTATGCGGTGATCACATAAAATTCCAGTCGCACATCTCCACTTTGCTCACCCAGCTCTTATTATGTGTGCGACATCTTCCTTGATCTCTCCATTTTTCCAGATTATCGACCCAAGATATCAAAAGTATAGTCTTTTTTGTACTTCTTGATCGTCAATCTTAACTACTTCCTCATCTCTACTCCTATTATTACTAAACTTGCACTCCATATACTCTGTCTTAGTCCGACTAATTTTAAAACCTTTGGATTCTAGAGAATCCCTCTAAAGTTCTAACTTTGTATTGACATGGTTTCGGGTCTCATCAATCAAAATTATGTCATCTGCGAACAACTTGCACTATGGTACCTCATCCTATAGGTGTCTAATTAAGTCGTCCATAACTAAGACAAAAAGACACGGGATCAATGCTGAACCTTGATGTCGACCTATTGTCACTGAAAACTCACTCGTCTCTCCACTAGTTGTTTGTACACTAGTTAGTGCTCCATCGTACACAGTGTTTTAAAATGCGGGTTGCGGCCCTGATGCAGTGGGGGGCCAATGTGGCGATTCGGCTCGATGCGACCCGGATGAAGGTGCATCGCGATAATGCGAAAAAATGTAAAAAAATTCAAAAAAATTTTAAAAAATAAGTTGATGCATAGAAAAAAATATGAAGGTGATATATGTGATATTAGGTATTTTAGTTTAATGATTAACTTCAAAACTATTAGTTGTCGGAGATTTTGTATCCAGCTATCCACCCATATAAATATTTTTACAGAGCAAGCATATCACACAATTTCTATCTTTGGGATTTTTTAATTTAGCATATTTTCAAGTCGGATCCTTATTACTAGAAGATTGGGAAGAAGACATTGCCCCAAAAATATGTATAATAGTAATATTGTACAAGAAGGAAAAAAAATTTACGACTCTGTGAAGTACTGCTCGATTTCTTTGACCTCTGAAACCCCCGATTTTTTATCACAAATGCACCCTAACATCTCCAAATCAACAATCAAAGGCATCCAATGAACATCCAAGTATCAAACAACCGCCAAATCGAAGATTTCAATGAAAAAATAATTCCCCTTAAATTTTTTTTACCTCGATTTGATGCAAAAAAAGCCACAAAAGTGGCTGAAAATCTTCGTTTAGTGCCCCTAATACTCCCCTAAAGAGTTTCCCTAGCATTTGGATGGTCAAAAAGACCATTTTGCCCCTCCCCCTAGAGGCAAAACAGAAAAAAAATTTGATGGGCACTGTAGCAGTGGGATGCGATGTGATGCGGCCTATGTAGGATGCGGCCACGATGGGGCCTGATGCAGCCGCATCTGTCAAAAGCGCATATGCGCCTGTTTTTTATGTGGATGCGAGCGCATCCCGCATGATGCGGCCGCATATGCGGTGATGCGGCTATATTTTAAAATACTGATCGTACATATCTCTCACCAAGTCGATGTAGTGTCTAGAAATGTCTTTCTTTTCCAACACTCGCCAAATCAAATCTCGAGGTACTCTATCATAAGTTTTCTCTAGATCAATAAAGACCATGTTAAAGTCCTTTCCCTAAAGACCATGTTAAAATCTTTTCCCTTCGCCCTAAACTTCTCAATTAGTTGCCTAAGTTGGAAAATAGCCTTAATTGTTGACCTTCCTGGCATAAAACCAAATTGGTCTTCAGATACATTCGTTTTATGCCTTAGTCGTTGCTCAATGACTCTCCCCCAAAGCTTCATATCATGGCTCATAAGCTTGACCCCTCGATAGTTTGCACAATTCTGTATGTCTCATTTGTTCTTGTAAATAGGCACCACAATACTTTTCCTCCATTCGTCTGCCATTTTTATTGTTCTCAACATCTTTTTGAACAGCTTCGTCAACCAGTAATGCTAATTTCCTCCATTCACTTCCAAACCTCTATCGGGATACCATCTGGTCCTAAAATCTTTCCTAACTTCATCCTTTTCAAAGCTTCTTTCACTTCCGACATCCTAATTCTACGAAATTTGAATTGCATAAAATGAAGGCACGCTAATATTTACAAATCTATTTTAGAAGTTAAACATTAACTGCCCCACAGATTAAGGAGAAGTGGCGAAGAATCCAAGTTTCAATTCGAGTCATCTCTAAATTGGGATTTTAAGAAATTTAGGAAATGTTACATCAAAATTTTTTCAAATCACTTGTTGCATGGAAATAAATTTTACCGTAGTGAAAGTCAACCAATAACTTCTCAAAATTTGCATTTAAAAGGAATGTTGACATAAATAAAATCATAAATTCCAAACCTCACTCATGTTCAGTTCAACTCTTATGTTTATGGGCCATGACTGCTTCTAAACAATGTGAAGTTGAAATATATGTTCATACTTTTATATTTACTAAAAAGATGATTGATGGTTAAGTATGCATGTATTTTGCAGCATTGAACACTTTTTATGCATGAAGAAACCCAAGTCATCACAAGTTCCAAAGGTGGAAATTATGTGTCATGCGTTCAAATTGGGATCAACTCTAGAGTACCTACAAGAGATTAATGTCCAAATTGGACAAATATGAGCATACATGCACACAAAATTTCCTGCTAGGGTGCTCCTCTAATTTTGATATCACAACCTTTACTAGCATATGGGTATTTAGTCATTTTCACCTGACAATATATAAAGCAATTGCTCCTGCAATATTAAATAAAATACCAATAGATCAGCGTGACCATTGTATTTAACATAATATTAAAATCAACATTGCACATGGAGTTTCTGTCCTGTAGCATACTAAATCTTTGCTTCCAGAAAAATATTCAAGCAACATCAGGTTCTGCCTCCTGCCCTTGGTTATTTGACGTCCCTTTTCTCTTATCATTTCATCTCATCACTCTATTTCAATAAACAACATCCCCTTTTCCAAAGAGCGCAATGGGTATTTTGGGGGCACGGTTAGCTTGTATGGGTTTTTCGGAACAACCCTTGACCTCCCTCACCCAAACCAATATATCTACCTCTAAGGAACAATTATCATGGGTATTTTGGTCACTTAAGACTAAAACATTGCACAATATTAGGTAGAGTGCAGATCAGTGTGAACTACTGGGGAAATGTAATCTTTCTGTAAATGCTGGTGTCATAGTTCTACTTGCACTCCTTTTTGTACTTGTGGAGTTGCAGATCATCATCATTTTAGCCTTTTCTTAATTAATTGGGGTCGGCTACATGAATCCTGGTTCTCCATTCTGCTCTTTTAAAGGTCATATCCTCAGTGAGACCATAAGTCCCCATATCTTTTCGGACTACTTCCAACAACGTCCTTTTGGGCCTACCCCTTGCCATTTTCAGTCCTTCCACTTGAACTAACTCGCACATCCTAACAGGTGTTGTACTTGGTCAGTGCCACACATGGTCAGCCCTCTACTCTTTCATTTTATCGCCAATTGGTACCACACCTAAACAACGAGGCTGTCCCACCTTCCACCGAAATCCCTAACATCCAAGTAGGAGGATAGAATAGTAAAGAGATCAAAACGATACTAAAAAGTACATAAGGATTTTCAAAAAAATATGGCCTTGAAGGGAGAATTAATATTAAAAAATGTCAGCTTAAGACGTGTCACATGCGTGACGACATTGGCTAGATGTCAATAGGGCAAACCATGCAGTTCAGAAAATAATAGAGATGAGAGTGGAAGCCTGATTAAAAGGGACTTCAAGTTCTAATTTGAAGGCATGGTTACCACATCTGAATGCAAATCGAATAACAATATAAATGACATCCCCCAGCCAGTGTTACACCAGCATTCATGCTCAATAACACTTGTTGACACACGCATGGCCCCTGATGCACCCTCGGTACATCTGCAATATGAATCAAAGTATATTCCACCGAAGTAAGAATGATATCCCATTCATCTAATGCAACTTGTATATATGTTGTTTCTTTCTTCTTTGGTTTAGATATTATCACAATAGAAAATAACCCACTATTCATATGCACACAAAGACATAATTACCGTCAACCTATAAATGTTATTACTGCAGTTGCCGAACAAAAAATTCCTGAAGTCATTATTCATTATATAAAAATTTTACTAAACATTGTGTCATATGCCACAAGATAAAACGTAATGCAATAATAGTACTGCAATCATAATGGACATTGTATGCTTTGTTTTTTCATTTTGTGTAGACATATCAGGATTTTTCGATGCGCCATGTCAAACACCTACATCCATGTTGGAATCCTTGCAACACTGTCACTAGATTCTTGTGTTTTTCACTAGGAAGTTCAAAAATTGAAATACATTCTATCTAGACTAAAGAAGAAACTACATATCTTATATAAAAGAACAGGCAGGGTCAAATAACAGACTTCCCTAATGAACAGAAAAATTAGGATACGATAACAACATGGCAATGTCCTTGAAGCTACAACACCTACAATTTTCACGTGGATGACAAATAAACAATGCCACAACTAGCACAAACTGTATTAATGTTAAAAATGTTTTCTAACCTTCCCAAGTACCATGAGAACATAAAGGACTCAGGCAAGGCTTGGGTTTCTCTTGCAATGCAACAACTTGATAACAAAATAATTTGAAACTGATGAGTATGTAAACAAAAATGGGAGCTAAAATTCTGTCCATTATTGAAGATCAAATCAACATTCCAGAGCTTACTTGACTAACAATTCAAACGAAAGCATTAAATTAAACTAGCTCGCCAAGAACAGAATAAAAAACAGCAGCTATATAATGCAAATTTAGGGTATGTAAGGAGAGAACTCTTCCACCAACACTCATATCTTTCAATTCATAAAATGGGTGGGAATTGGATGGAGTCCATCCAGAAATCCCATGAGATTGGATGAATATGATCACCCATCAAGTTGTTGATCAATAGAAGGATAAAAGACATAAACTTTGTAAGCGGTGATTTCTAGAAACGTGAGCATCAGGATGTTCTAATCATCAAAGACAAATATTTCCCCCTTATTGCTGAGGCATTTATCTTCTGTTTTTCTTATAGAAATAAACACTGAAGGAAGTGCAAGAATTTCTTTCTTAACATTTCATGAGAAGATAAGAGACAGAGGTGACAGAGATACTGAGTGAGTGAGAAGAGAAATCCAGAAAAGGAGGGGTGCAAGTGAGAGATAAAAAATACTAAAAGGTGAGGACGATAATGGTAGAGAGAGAAAGAGCAAAAATGGTAGGATAAAAGCAGGCAAAATGACTTTGATGATCGCTCTTGAATATGGACATGAAAAAATAGATGGCACAAAGGAAATTCTCCAGAAGAGAACTTTAAAGTTTGGAACAAACCCTAAACTGGATGCCTCTCTGATACCATGAAAGTTTTTGAGAAGCAAATGAATTGTTCATTTTGTTCACTACATATACTAGTAATTTTTATTTTCAGAAATTCAAGTCAATTTCTCATTCAAAGACATGCATTAATGACCATAAACAGATGCATACCTATGCCTAGATAAACGCACATATGTGTGAATATATCTAACATCGACATATAAGTGTGCATGTATAAGTACACTATTTTTTTTTCCCAAGAGATGTGTTAGTCCATACAATTTATATCACGATATAAGAAGACCATGGCAACTGCCCCATCACATAGACAGAAAGAAAAAACAAACAATAAAAGATGGAAATTGCTGCACAAGCTCCAGGTGGAACTATTAGTGTGAAGGAAGAAAAGACCTGACACCAACACAATTCAAGGAACCTGTCCTATTCCAAGTTAGAGAATCCAGATGTTATCAATTGATTAGAATAAAAATAAAAGCCTTGAATATTTATAAGATAGATTGATTGATAAGCAAAATTGCCATTTGTAACTAGAAACTCAAACTATTAATCAAACGATTGATAGAAATTACAAAGACAAAAGCACACGTATGGGTAAAAGAAGGATTACATTCAGACACAAAAGGTTCTTATGCAGCACAACACAAAGATGTGCAACCTGATATCCACTACAATCTGAATAAATGTATTCTTATAGCCTTAATCCATGTTTTATCATTTAAGAAGATTACATGCCCTATGCATCTAAAGCCAAAGACATAAACCATGAAGAACATAAGCACAGATCAAACACAACAGCATCTGAACTGTGAGTAGATACATGAATACACATCTTGTGAGTCTGTATGTGTCTCTGCATCTTCTACAAGTAAGGACAGCTTTTAGGAAGTCACACAGATATCACTGCATGAGCCCACAAAATGTCAAATTACATTAAAGATACGAGAATATGTGTGCAATGAGCCCACTACTTCAAGAGCTCTTCTTGGATAAATGCATTCCAGCAACATCAGAATCAAAGTCGCTATACAGTGTCACCCATATAAGGAATGCCCTTAAACTTCAAACTTCGAAGTCCACTATCAAAAAACATATAAAATAGATCCTAAAATTCACAAACAAACACACAGTCGATAAAAACAACAGTTGCAGTACAAACCTGCAAGTCATCTTTACGCTCTTGAAGGATCTTTGCAGCGCCAAGTAGCATTGTGATATGGGCATCGTGCCCACAAGCGTGCATCTTCCCCGGGATTTTGCTCTTGTGCTCCCACTCAACAGCCTCCTAAACATACTCCACCAAGCCGATACATAAATTACATTTTTTCCAAACATTTTGCCTTAATTCGCCACAATATCTAAACAAATCTAACCATCCCAATTGAAATATTCCGGAAAACTCCCAACTTAATTTTGGTTCGGATGTGTCAGCACTTTCAGTCCCAAGAAAAATAAGAAAGATTAAAAAAATAGAGAAAAGATATACTAGCCAAATCCAACTGCAAAAGGAAACTATATTAATAATTTCTGTAAAACTCCATTAATCTCTACAAACCCAACTCCACTTTCCTCTGAAAAAAATGATGAATATGATAAATGCAACAAGAAATAAAACCTTTAGAATAAAGAGAAATGAGACACGGTGCACTATAGTGGGAAAGTCTAATTTCTATCATATTAAAGAAAAAAGAAAAATGATAAAAAAAAAAGGGCAAAAAGAAAATTTAAAAATATCCATGTAAGCTATTTGCAAACTCCCACCTAAATTACAATACAGAAAGCCCAAACTTGAAACAAAGACAAGTGCCTAACCATTCAATCAAGACGTTTACCAACCAGCCCCCCTCCATCAAAAAAAACAAGAACACAGAAATGAAAACCCAAAAAAAAAAGGATATGAGAAACAAAAAAAAACCCAAATGGAAACACATAAGAGTTTGTTCTTCTTGTTTTTTGAAAAAATGAATATGAACAAATTGGAAATCATGGTCAAAGCCAAAATTTTAAATTTACCAAAACAAACCAAATTAACAGAAGAAGAAAAGAAAACAAAACGCTGTAAAACAAAATACATTTGGCTCGAAATCAATTTCTAAATATTAAATTGGAAGAAAACGCAGACATAAGATCTTTACCTCAATAGGAAGAGCATCCATATCAGCTCGAATGGCCACAAAAGGCGGGCGTCCACTTCCAATAAAACCCACAACACCAGTCACCGCAACAGGCCATTTATACTGAACCCCAAGTTCATCGAGCTTCCTTCTGACCAATTTGCTTGTCTCAAATTCCTCAAACCCAAGCTCAGGGTGCTCATGTATACTCCTCCTTATATGTCTAAGCCATTCCAACATCTCTGGCTGCTTGGCTCTCTGCAAAATATCTGTTGGGGTCTCTGCAAAAACTCCATCAAACCATGAAATGGAACTGAATAGTGCGAGCACATGAAGCACAGCAAATGCCCATTTGTGAAAAACCATGATTGGAAGGAAATTAACTGTGGTTCTTGCCCTAGGGGCGTTCCGAAGAAGTTGGGTGGGCTTATAGAGGTGGAAAGAAGAAACCTATGTTCCGCTTAGTGTTGCAGAAACGGCGATTAGAAGAAAACAGATGACTTCTGCACACTCTTTCCTCTTTCTCTTTGTCTCTCTTCCGGATGTTATTTTTGGACTCTGTCTGCCTGCTTCCTCAAGCACGTGCTCTATCACCTCTCTCTCTATCTCTGAATTTCTGACTACTCTCTCTCTCTCCTCTGGTCAGTGACAGGGCGTCTTTCCACTTTCTATCTCTAGATTGACGAGAGAGCATACCATTGCAGTCCAGAACAGACGTGCACGTGCTGAAAGATGAGAGTCCAAACATAACATCCAGGAAAAGAGCGGTCTCCGCTGTCCACGCCTTTCCATTGATTTTGCCATGAGAGTAATGTCATACACAAGTTTAGTATGATATATGGTACACTGGAGCAACGACCTCCCTCCATTATCAATGATGGAGACTGGAGATTATTTTAATGGAAATTAATATAAAAATGCCTTGCCTGTAGAGATATTTAAAAAGGACCCGGTTTCCATGGCCCGGGCCCATGTAGAAATGCGGGCCTCTTAATAAATCTATTTTTGCCGCCCTCTTAATAAATCTATTTTGACTGCGTATATAGAAATGCAGGTCTCTTAATAAATCTATTTTTGAGATGGATTTTAAGATTCAATTTTTAAAGTCATATAATCTCTAATGTGGAGATCACGAATATAAAAAATAAATAAATTTTAAAAATCAAAAATAATAATTCTAATAAGAAAACATTTGGACTGTTAATTTCCATTGTTTTTAGATGGAACACTTACTTGTACCATCTTTAAGATGGATGCTTACGCTTTCTGGACCGTATATGTAGAAATGCGGTCCAACATGCGTAAAACAATTTCCATTTAAAAATGGAAAAGCATATAATGAGACTAAGGTTTAAAAAATGGATCGGTGAACTGGATCGATCACTCTAAAAATTGGGTCGGATAAAAGAAAGATCAGCCTGTTTCGGCTGAAAAAAATTACTAAATAGTATTTTTTGAGTTTCAAAAAATTGAGGGGGTTATGCATTATATACTTTCATTATTTTAAAAAAATACATGAATATTAATACATCGTTTTCATGTCTAGATGTATGTTGACTATTGAATACTTTAGGCTTTTTTTTCTTGCATTGTCTTACATTCATTTGAATGTTAAAAAACAAAAAAACTAAAAAGAAAAAGAAAATTATTTCATGCATGGGGACTGCATTTCTACATTTGCGGTCCCCGAGGTATAAAGCATCCATTTTAAAGATAGATACAAATAAGTGGTCCATCTAAAAACAATTAAAACTAACGGTCTAAATGTTTTATTAATAGAATTATTATTTTTTTATTTTTAAAATTTATTTACTTTTTCATATTCATGATCTCTATGTTAGATATTACATATCCCTAAAAATTAAATCCAAAAACCCATATCAAAAATAAATTTTAAGAGGTAACTCATTTCTACATGGACTCATAGAAATCACGTCCAAAAGAAAAAAAGGAGACAGATGTCGCATTGTCTTAATTTCCTTTGTTGGCAAAGTTTTCTTTACACCATAGAAGTTTATTTATATAGCTTTGAAATTAGCAGCATGTTATAAAATCAAAGTTATATAGTGTAAATAAGTTATGGTGTAAAATAATTAGAAATTAGCTAATTTAGAATTATGTAAACTTTCAAAATTATCTATGGCATAAAATAACTATAATATAGATTAACAATGTTTAAACTATGGCGTGAATAAGCTAAGTTTATACAATGCAAATAAACTATACAAATAAAATAGCTTTAAAGGGCAACTATGCAAATAATATAATAAAATATGTAAATAGCTATGTAAGTTTGCATGTTATTGTAAATGTCTCGCATGTAAAATTGCTCCCAAATGTTTGTAGTATGTCCTAAAGTTTTGTCATGTGTTGAAACCCACATAATTTACGCTGGGATAATTTGAATGACCACTCAAAAATGACTATTTTTTCCACTTGAATGGTATCAATTTGAATAACCACTTTGTCCCAAAGTTCATGACTTGTTGTAGCATTTACTCAAAGTGAAAAAATGGGAGAATTTGTCTTACATCGAATATTAAAAAGAGTGAGAGCTTCCGTAAGAGCATCATGCACAATGGCAAAGCACCGCGCGCAACAATGAAAATTTCATGCCGTGATGACACGTGCATTAAAGTGCTTGCGGCCACTTAAAGTGATGGCCTTTTTTATTTTTTTTACAATGAAAATTATAGGGGTGGGCCTTTGCCCCTCTACCAAAAGAATTTAAAATTATGGGGTTGGGTCATCCGATTTTTTTTAAAAAAAATCTAAAATCGACTTAAGTATCCCTTGTTACAACCGGTTCCGATAAGAATCGGATGATTATGCTTTATGTCGATGAGCTGGCCGGTTCAGATGGGGGAGGGGGGACTCAGGTTGGTTCCTGATATATGACGGGAACCAAATCGGTTTCGACAGTTCTCGATCCCGATTGGATAATTCCGATCCGAATTGTTGAAGTTTTAAACCTTGATTCGAGACCATTTACTTTTGGTAGAAGATGGTCAAATTAATCTTGACCATTGGATGTAAAATTGAGTGGCTGCATTTATTTCATTGACCAAAATCAAAATTCAAAATAAATTTTCTCGAACTTTTCATAAGGTTGCAACATTAAACAATCAAATTAAAGTGCACTTCCAAACTTTGTCACTGTGAGAGATAATCTTTCTCTGTATTCAATTATTAATAAGAATTACAATACAGTTGTCGATTTATAGATAGGGTACAACCAATACTTGTTAAAACTCTAGGATACAGTTTCTATATAGATATAGTATACAATTAAACATTGACAAATCTCAATATCTAGTTGCTATATCTGTTGTAGTTGTCATGTCTATTTACACTCCCCTTCAAACTCGAGATGATTTAAAGGAAGCATAGAGAGTTTGGAAACAAAGGATGCAGGGAATGAGACTTAGTGAAGAAGTTCATGAGTTATGCTGCAGTAGGCACATATGGTACGGAATTATACCTGAGATATATTTGTCAAACATAGTAGCAATTGACTTCAATATGTTTCGTGCGCTCATGGAACTCCGGATTTTTAGAAATATAAATGGCACTCTTGTTGTCAGTTTTCCAACCAGTTGCCTATAAAAGGTTGGGTCAGGAAGAGCTTCTCCATCTGTAGTCCGAAATTTAGCATTGAACTCAAGAGGGGTATCAACTTTCTTTGTATCATTCTGTAGTCGAGCTTGAGAAACAATTTCTGAAGCATATTTTCGTTATGACAACAGATATCATGAGGAGAATAGGTAATTTCTAGTCCAAGGGAATGCCGCAAGAAATCCAAATCTTTCATTTCAAAGGTGCTACTGAGCTTTTGTTTGAATTTATAAATTATGCCCATATCATTATCAAAGATAATCATGCCATCCATGTATAGTAACAAGAGAACTCGTCCTTCAAAAGTTTTAGATACAAAGAGCACCAGATCATGATGACTTTATCAAAATCCAACCGAAATAACTTCATTATAAAATTTCTCAAGCCAAGCACGAGGTGCTTGTTTGAGTCCATATAAAGCTCGTCAAAGTTTACACACACGTTTTTTATAATCCACAACGCTAGAATATAACTTCATATGTAATTCTGTATCAAGATCACCATTGAGAAGAACTATTTTTGAA